AAAAAAAAAGACTGATGTGAATAGTAGAGCGACTTGAGGTTTACTAATTTATTGTTAATTTAGGATTTCGATAAAGCATCTATCCCCCTCGAGACTGCCACTCTTCTGCAAGAAGGACAAAATGGAAATTTTTCTCAACAAGGTTACCCAAACTGATGCAGGATTTGCAGAACATCACCATCACAATGGCAAGCGATGACTTGTCCTTAAACTTTAATTTTCTCACTATTTTAGCCATCACTTCACGAAGTAGTTGGGTAAAAAAATGTGACACAACTTCACCCTTACTTTTATTATTTTTCTCGAGGCTACTTTTACAATGCCCTCAATACATCAAAATGACACAGATAAACGATGGGCAAACGCCCTCTTTTGAGATGCTCCAACTCGCGCTCCAAACTTGGAACTATCATGAAGTTTTTGCTGCAGAATCTGGTCCTGGAGTTTACCTTCCTTCTTGCAATAAAAACTCCTCTTTCTCCTCTCTCGTTGCTATGTTGGGATTGCATAGCCCACGCATTACCCCGATTTATAGAGCTCAAAAAACGTCGCGATGAGTTTACATAGACCTCCAGAAAGTAAAACACCCTGAGCGCCTACAAAACCTCAACTTCAGAAATGCTGGCTTCTAACCACGAAGAACCTAGCACGTAAGTTATAAGAGACCTTTGAAGCAGCCAAGACGTCAGCATACGAATTTTCAATCTGTGAAGATCATGAAGGCATAAGGCAGCTTTCACACCCCAGGCCACCCTATGCGTACCTGGCCTGCCTGGTTGTGCCAATGGACATAATGAGTAAACTATATAGATGATGAGCCGAATATTAGCTAGTTAGTTAGACAGTAGCTTGCAGTAATCCACGTTCCACGTCATCCGTAAAAAGTCAGCATGGATGATGGTGGTAATTTTCCAAAAAAAAGAGCCATCAAATGGAACAGGAACGAATGGAAGCAATCGAGTTCGAGGACAATTTTTGACTAAGCAGAGCCTGTATTTCAGCATCGATCCGTGGGTGTATGCAATTCGAAACTGACGAACAATTCAACTCAACGGAGCAAAAAATCGCTACCGAGGGCGAAGGTATTATGGCTGGACCTGTTTGCGAAGTAACAAATCGTCTAGAATGAATCAGAAAAAGAATTCGTTGCGTTGCTGAAGATTGATGACCATGAAAATCGACGGCAAGAATTCTAAACTTGCATCGAAGTAGTTACACAGTGAACAGAAGAAATCGTAATGCAATTCTCGTCCATTTGATAAGCTCCTCCCACTTCTTGGTCACAGTTCAGTCCATCAATTAGTCCCCGTGATGTACGGTGACGATGACACTTCCATACAAAAGGGTGAATTCGAGGGTTTCCGGCTGACCAAACTTGAGGATGCCATTCGGATTGATTCTCTGATTGTCCCTGCCTCCAGGTGGGGCATACGTATCGATAGGGTATCTCGTAGGGTATGCCCAACGAATGAGTCTTGAACAGAAGCTCTACGAGATACGCCAAGCATTTGTAAGCCTTCTAGATTGCTTAGTCCTGGGAGGCTCCACATATACAGGGGGCCATTAGAGCTTGTAGTCAAACGTATATGGGAGCATCAGTAGGATCGGTAGAACTGACCTCGAATTTCAGATGCTGGAAACTACCCTGAACTCCGCACTCTTCATGTTCCCTTACCCATTAAACTCTCCACGTGGGTCGGAAGCCCTGGTGAAGTCTAACCGCAAATTTGTGATGCTCTTAACGACGAATGTATCTCGATAACTTACACTTCGGTATAATAAGTAGAATGGACAGGAATCATCATCGGTTGGAGTCAGGAAGCGATAAGTGTTTGGTAAAAGGGTGTGATAGATGCGTCACCGTATTTGTCACAGGCTTCATGCCAAATGCAAAATGTTTGCCTGGGCAAACAACACAGAGAGCCTGCTGAATACATCGATGTTGCATGATAGTGTAGGATAGCCGACAATGACAGCTTTTGCGAAGCAATAAAGAATAATGCCAACAAATCAGACTTTGAATAAGCCGTAAAATGTTTGCACTAAAAAAGGGCACGTTCAGAAATCAATAGAGGGTGTTACATAGTGACAGCAAGTGATAAGAGTCAATAAAAAGTAGCTTCAATAAATTCCTCTCATTTGCAAGGTACAGTCATTTACATGCCATCAGAGAACTACTATGGCTAGGAATGAGGGATTGAGATCGACCAAGTCTTTAGTGTTAATCAACCCTTTTTGGGATGCGCCCCGCGTTTACGTTCGCCTCCTTTCAGTATAACATTTGAGCTTCTGAATCCGTATGCGGTTGAAGTGGCCAGCTCATTCACAAATTAGTGCTTTTGTTCTTTCAAACGAATCTATTACCAACAAACAGACCTTGAAAACATGGATGGCTTGGCTGGTCTAGGCCAACATTGGTCAGGGATTCCCTAGACCATTTGCGTGGGGTAGGGAGCCGCGTGTCACCCCAAACCTCCGCTCTAGGGGTTATGTGGATTAATTCTATAGTAAGAGACCACAACGATACCTCATATTGTAGGGAGCACAACATGAGTAAGAGAAATTGGCAATGATCAAACCACAAAGGATAAAGCGCTTCAAGCTCCTTAGCCCAGGTCTCGAATGTGCCTCGATTCGCCGCACTGAATCGGACCAACCCAGGATTTGATCCCCGAACCGCATACAACAGCAACACCATAAGGCATTAGTCCACTTTCATTAAAACTACAAATAAAATGAGGTGAAGAATGGCAGTGTCGCTGAAGTCGTCGCAAATTCCCCACTTCCCGTAAAAAGCCCACGTACTCAAGTGGTAAGGAGGGTGTGGCGAGTACGAAAGATGGCCGGAAAAGGAAACTGGTTGTGAGTTATAATTTGTGATAAATGCAACAGCATAATGCAATGTGATTTTTCTGAAGTATGCCAGAGAGAGACTAAGTTCCTCTTGAATGGCTACCCAAACCCTACATTATCATTTCAGTGCAAAACAGTTTCTGGTCATATCATAAATGGAAATAGATTAGGATAAAATGAAAGGTCAAGTGTTCGGCGTTGATCAATTTCTTTTTGTG